CAAGTGCTGAGATGGTGGCACCCAGGAACACAAACTGTGCCTGGCCACAGAGCCTGCAAGGAGGAGCAGAGACAGCCCTGGCAGTGTGGGGGGCCAGGTTGTCCCTGTGCCTTCCCCTGCAGGCCCTGGCTGTCCCTGCTGGGCCCCTGTCCATCTCCATCAGGTCCCTGCCCGTTCCCCCCGGGCTGAGCTCCCCCCAGGAAGTGCCGTGGAGCTGAAGCTGCTGCCATCCCCCCCCTGCAGCCGCTGGCCCAGCCAAGGGAGCAGCAAAGGCAGGGCCAGGAGCAGAGGCAGCAGCAGGGGAGCCCTGGGGGGGCCAGGAAGCTCTTGTGTGGGGCAGGAAAGAGGCGCTGGGCAGGAGGCCGGGGCTGTGCTGAGCAGGCCCAGCCCTCACATCCCCCCAGCCAACGCCGGCTGCGCGGGAGGGACCCCCAGCCCGTGTGCCCCACACTGAGCTGGCAGAGAGAGAGCCAAGGGACAGGGCCACGGGCAGGGCCACGGGTGAGGGACAGGCAGGGCCATTGCAGGGCCACGGTGAGGGCACAGCCTGTGGCAGCAGAGCTGCCCAGGGCCGGGGGCAGCCGGGGGTGTTGGTAGCAGCCAGTGCTGGGGCTGAGCAGAGCACGAGGCCTCTTGCAGAGCCCTGGAGCAGCCTCCCACTTGCCAGCCCTGCCCTGTTGGGGTGACACTGTCCCCTCCCTACAGGACACTCCCCCCAAAATCTTTGGGAGGGCCTTTTGTGTCTATTCCTGGTTGCTGATTGATGCTGGGGACCTGATGGACCCTCTGCAATCCCATCCATGGGGCACAATCTCCTCTGCAGAGCTTGACTCACTGCAGACTTTGCAGGGAAATCTGTGCTGGCAGCCCGAGTATGTCATGATCCCCCTGCGTTCCCCCCTGGATATTTGGGGCGAGTTCCCCCTTCCCGGGCACCCATGGGATGAGGGGGGAGGTGCTTGTTTTCCTGCTGTTCCTGTTCCTGCTCCGCCCCTGTCCCTGCCCTTCCTGCCACTGTCGGGTGAGCAGAGTGACCACGATGGGAAAGGGGAGAGAGAAGCAACCCAGGAGCCTGAAACGGGGGAGCAGAGAAGAGGAAGCCTGGACAGTGGGACCCCTGGAATCCCCGGGACAACAGAGTGGAGAACCTGGAGAGGGGGAATGTCTGGGAACGCGGCACCCGGAAGGCGAGAGTCAGAGGAGAAGGAACCCTTGGGACTTCCAACACTCCCAGCATCCCTAAGTGGGACCCCCAGCATCCCAGACAGGGGAGCCCCTCTGAACCCCAGAGGGGAGAGACCAGAGAGGGGGAACTTCTGGGAGAATTTTTTGGGCCTAATCTTCATATTTTGGAGTATATTTTTTAGTTGAATCTCAACCTTTTGCAGCTTTGAAGGGCGAGGGTTTTCTTGCTATTTCTGACGGGGGTTTTTGCCTGAATCTGGGTGGTTTGGGTTTTTCTGTGCTGAATCTTGGTGTTTTGGAGGTTTTTATGGTCACAGGATGCCTGGTGAGTTCTAGAGATGGACTTGGGCAGGAAGAACCCCCAAGCCAACGCGCTCAGCCCTTGTTTCACCCCCATCAGGATTTGTCCTTCCCAAAGCTTGGGCGGATGGAGGAGGAGGCTGCGAGGAAGAGGAAGATGCCTTGGGCCCCCCAGGCAGGTGAGGAGGAAGTCAGTGGCCCTTTGGGCCAGTGTTGTGCTGGCTCTGGCAGCCGAGCATGGCCCCTGGCTGCAGGACAACCCCGCTGCCGCCGCCGTCCTGCCGGGGCCGGAGTTGGGGGGATGTCCTTGGCCTTCCCTGTGGGCCGGAGGCAAATCCCCTCCCTGTCCTTCTTGCTTCCTGCCCCAGGCCCCGAGCTGAGGACGGAGAGCCCGGAGGACAAATCCCCCTGTGAGAAGCTGGTGGGAGAGGCCCTTTTGAAGGGCTCCACGGCGCAGGAAGGCAGCGGGGAGGAAAAGGGCCAGAGATCCCCCCACAGGAGGGGCTCCAAAGCCAGCCCAGGGTGCTGTGAGGAGGAAAGAACCAACCTGTGCTGGGAAGGCGGCCAGAGCTTGAGGGGGAGCTCTGAGCTGGTGGTCCCTGAGCAGCCTCCCAGCAGAGAGAAACCCTTCAAGTGCTTGGAATGTGGGAAGAGCTTCAGGAAGAGCACCAAACTACTCATCCACCAGCACATCCACACTGGGGAACGTCCCTACACATGTGGGGAGTGTGGGGAGAGCTTCAACCACAGCTCCACCCTCCGCAACCACCAGCGCATCCACAACAGGGAACGGCCTTATACGTGTGGGGAATGTGGGAAGAGCTTCACGCGCAGCTCCAGCCTGATCCGACACCAGCAGATCCACACTGGGGAACAGCCCTATACGTGTAGGGAATGTGGGAAGAGCTTTAGTGACAGCTGCAGCCTGATCAAACACCAGCTCATCCACACCGGTGAACAACCCTACAAGTGCTTGCAATGTGGGAAGAGGTTTCAGCGCAGCTCAACTCTCCTGAGGCATGAGCGGACACACACGGATGAGAGGCCCTTCCGCTGCACCGACTGCGGGAAGGGCTTCAACCGGAACTTCACTCTCATCATCCACCAGCGCATCCACACCGGGGAGAGGCCATACAAGTGTGGGGAGTGTGGGAAGAGCTTCACCAACAAGTCTAATTTGACCACACACCAACAGACCCACCGGTAAGAGAAGTCCTACCAGTGCCTGGAATGTGGGAAGAGCTTCGGCCGCTGCTTCCACCCCAAATGAACTCCCTGATGGTGAGGCAACCCCTGGAGTCCAGTGACTGTCAGTCCATCCCTTTCTACCAAAAAGGGTCAGTCCCCTTTCCCAGGGGCAGGTTCTGCCAACAGAACCCTTTCTGAGGGGGTGTGTGGAGATTCCTGCCTTGGCTTGGGACCCCCCCAGGGTCACTCCTGGAGGTTGAAAGCAGAGATCTCCCCACCAGCGTTGGTCTGGGGGAGTTCCATCCATCTCTAATTAACAATTACTGCTTTTGTGCCAGCTTGAGTAGAATTGCTTCAACAATTGCTTTAGTGTAGAGCACTGTCCTATCTTATCCTGTACTCCTGGTAGTTTTAGTGTTTCTATTGTGCAGTAAATAATTCTGATGAAGATCTTTTGTCTGATCATTTGGAACCTTAAATAACTCACTTCTATCAATAGATCTGATTTGCCATCATTAAAAGCTGGGGGACAAAAGTGGTTCAGTCACAGCTCTGTAATTCCTCTAAACTGAAACTGTTGGCATAATCCAAGGCTGAGACTGGATCCAGCAGCCCCCAGCACCCCACAGGAAGTTGGGAGCTCAGGGTGGCCACCCCCCTTTCCCAACCCCTCAGTGCCCAAAGACCCCCATGTGACCGTCAGACCTGCCAGACCACCCCCCGTTTTCCACCCTTCTCCCTGTTCCTCCCATTTTCCCATTGTCCCCCTAATCCTCATTTTCCTCCCTAAACAGTTTTTGGGTCCCAACCCCCACATTTTGCCCCCTCTCCTGTGGGCACTGAAGGAGAAAATGAGGCTGCACACACAGAGTTCCACTGTGGGACTTGTCCACCCATCTTTCCGGCGTCCCCCTTTCATTGGGGTTCCTTTGAAAACAGCATGTGGGGTTTGTCTTTTAGTCCACTGGAATTCCCAGCATGGCCCCAAAGCAGTGCCCTGATCCCACACATTCCCCTTGCCTCATGTGCTGGCTGTGTTCAGCCACCAGAGAAAAACACAGGCTCCCATGCAGAGCATTCCAAGTGGTTTCCACTTTGGCAAACAGCACTCTCTGGCTGAAAAACACCAGTCAGGCCCAAAACACTCCTTTTGGATCCTGATTAACTGAATGCAGCTGCTG